CCGCGCGCTCGTTTTTCGCCACACCCAACGCAACGCTCCGTGGCCACGACGAGAGAGCTTCACCGAAGGCCCCAGCGGCAGGGTCCACATGGCGGCGCCGCCCCCTATTTTGGCGCACCCCTCACTTTGCGAGGGGTGCGCCATGAGGAGATCAGCCGAAGGCCCCAGTGGCAAGGTCCACGTGGCGGCGCCGCCCCAATTTGGCGCACCCTTCACACGGCTTGTGGCCTCGCAGCGAGATCAGCGGAAGGCCCCAGTGGCAGGGTCCACATGGCGACGCCGCCCCACTGTGGCGCACCCCTCACACGGTCTGTGGTCCAGTGGGGAGCTCCACACAAGGTCCCAATGGCAGGGTCCAAATGGCGGCGCTGCCGCATTTTGGCACACCCCGCACATTGAAGACCCGCGTCCCAAAACCGTTCGGCCACCCCAAATATCGTGTGCGTGCGTGTCTGCCGGCGAAGTGTCGCCGCCCAGTCTGGGGGAGGGCACCCCGAGCGACCCAGATCGGCGGCACTGGCCGAAGGCCACTACAAATACGACCGCTGACCCACCACACGGCGTGGTCACAACACCGTTTGCGGGGGCCCCGACCCTGCGTCCGACGCGATCCCCGCACATCATCTGCCGCGCGGATCTCTCCGCTCCGCAGCCCCAGCGGTGTCCCAGATCAACGGTGCATGGCCCGGGGCACGAGATTTGCACGGTCGGACCTGTGACAGAAAGAGCGCCCCTCGAGAACGTCAGACCCTCCGCTGGCCAAACCGAAGAACATTCGAGGGCGCCCTCCCCTGGGGTGCACAAGAACACCCAACAGACACGAAGAGCATGAGGGTGCCCTCCGCGTACGGACATCGCAGCGGTCAACCCCTCTAACAAGAACGCACGATGAGGACGCAAGAGCCTTGGAAGGCCATGCCGACACCTTTCGAGCGGGGCGCGGCCCGCGAAAGCGGCCAAGGATGAGCCGAAGGACAAGGATGCAAGGGAAACATTGGAAAGTTGCTGATCCTTACGATGCGGGCCGACTGTAATGCAGTGGGCACCAGAAGCCGAAATCGAGGGAAACGCCAAGATTGAAGACATCAGATGAGCGACGAGAAGAAAGGGGTCTTGTGCGAGATGGCATCGTGAACTTAAGCGCTTGCTTATGCCGTGAGAAGGCGTGTGAGATGACTGGCTGTCCCCCCTCCCCCCTTCCCCTCCCCCAGGGTCCTAAATCCAGTTTGAGGGAGGGGGTATTCGGGCTCGTCGGCGCACCCCTGGGAACTCCGGAGCTTCCAAATCTGCATTGTGTGGCCTCCAAAACGTTCCCAGACGGTCCCGAATCGCTGAACGATTGGCCCAAGGTGCTTACGACGGCTCCAGGACGCCCCGAGACACCTTCGAGACGCCCCATAGTCCCATGAGCCTTCCCAAGAGAAACACGAGAGGCAAAAATCAATGGCTCCCGTTGGTTTTCGAAGGATTTGGACGTTCTCGCCTTTCCTGTTTTCCAACGCTCTAAGATGGCCAAAAAGGCCTCCACGAGGCCCCTACGACAGCCCAAGAGGCCTCCAAGAGGGCCCGAAGACGGCCTAAGAGCGCCCCAAGACGGCCCAAGAGGCGCCCGAGACGGCCCAGGTGGGCCCCAAGACGGGGCCCGAAAGGCGCCGAAGACAGCCCAAGAGGGCCCAAAGACGGTCCCGAAAGGAGCCCGAGAGAGGGAATACGAATCCGAGCCTTTCGCCGCAGGAGGCCCCCAGGAGGCCCCAAGAGGCCCTCGAGACGCCTCACGAGCCTCCCCAAGAGGGCCCCGAGAGGCACAAATCAATCGTTGTCCTTAGGTTGTTCATTATTTATGGAGTCATTGTCTTCTCGAGCTTCCGACGCTCCAAGGCGGCCCAAGAGGCCCCATAGACCGCCCCCAATCTGCCCAAGAGGCGGCCCCTACGAGGGCCCAAGGACGGCCCATGAGGGTTCCAAGACGGCCCAAAGAAGGGCCCAAGACGGCCGAAGATCGCCCCTATAGGGCCCCAAGAGAGGCAAAGAGCCAGAACACGGACCGAACGTCATATCCCCCCCCACCCAAGAGGCCCCCCAAAAGGCCCCGAGAAGCCCTCAAGCAGCCCAAAAGAGGCCCCCGATGAGCCCCAAGAGGCTCCAAAGAGGCCCCAGCACGGGCCCCAAGACGCTTCAAACCTGCTCTTCCTCCTCATCCCCTTCCTCGTGCTCCAAGCTGATCGCAGGGGCCAGCCCAGACCCCGTATTCAAAAACAGCGTCTGCGCGCAGCACTCCCGCCCTCGCGTCGCGCTCCTTGATCCTCGGTTGCAGCCACGAGCCTCCTGACCCACCAAATAGCCTCCACGATCGCCGCAAGCTCTCGCTCCTTCGGGGGGCCGGCGGAACGGCGCAGTCCGCTCGAGTAAAAGGGTATTACTCGAGATGGCGTAGCGTGAAGGGGCCCAGGGGCACACAAGTAAATACACACAAAAATCCCCGGATTCCCCGCAGCCTTCC